ATCCCGTAGCCAATTATGAAGCTGTCTGCTACCTGCTCTTTTACTCCTTATCTCCATAGAGGTGACAACCATGCCTTAAACTTGTGATAAAAGAATGGTGTGTTCTAAAATACACTGAAATTCATCACTGTCTTGTAAATTAGAATGCAGAGTCTGATATGTAAGCAAAACATACTTTAGAAACCACAGTCATGTTAGGAAAGCTGCTTATATGTGTTCAAAAATGTGTAGATATGGTCCTTAGAGTCACGGTTTAGTGACGGACTTAGCAGTGCTGAGTTAATTGTTGCACTTGACCATAGATACCTCTTCCAACCTTTACAATTCTATGATGGTTCTCTGATTATAGGGAAAGGTGAGTTTTGATAAAATCAGTAACTCTTACTGTAGTTAAAATCTTTATCACCATCTCCAGTCGTATAATTTGTCACACCAATCCTGGGTTCATTTTTCCCTTCCTTCTGCCCAATAGAATGTCAACAGTAGTGCCACTATGAACCTTTCTAAGTTCTGAGAAGGTGTCATATTGCTGCACTTCAAACAGTTATAAAAAAAATAACTTTCCTACTAGTATGGGCCTTCATTTCAGGATTATATGGCTCAGGAATTAAGGCCATATGTTCATCTAATTCTAAAGCAATCATGAAGCCTAATGTATCAGACTTACTATAAGTAGGATTCCTTCCTTCATTTGCCACTTTAAGGTACTATAAAACACATTTCCAAACTAAATTCAGAGATCCTGAATCTGAACTTACTTTTTACATGAAAAGGTAACTGCTTTCTGCTATGTTTAAAGATGGCCTTAGCATCACTTTCTGTTAATGTTATGCCTAATCTGTACTGGCACAGTTTTCAAAATACCTATCAGCATTGTGCCATAACAAAATTTTAGAAGTGCCAAAAATAATTAGCCAAGTTAAGTATTTTTCATTATTTAAGGTATCAAATTATATTAAATGCATTAAATTATGCTGGAGATGAGATATCAAATTTCAATAATGAAGAGGAGGAGTATCATGGTTATGTATTATATTTTATCTCATTAATGTTTTTCTTTCTCCATATGAGTTCTGTCATCCATGTATGCAGAAAGAAGTATGATAAATCTTAATTTTCAATCTTTTTTTTCTGTGTTATACCATACACTCTTCATTTTTTATGCTGCACAGGAAAATGATCCTGTTTTGTTTGAACAGCAACTGTAAACAAAATCTTGAGCCTGGATGCATGATGACATGCGAGTTATTTGTCCTTCAATAAAACATATAAAAGGTAGTAACCTAAGCTCTTGTGCAAAAGACAAGCTACAGGGTCATTAAATACCAAAGGTCTTGCTCTGACCCATCGATGACCTCCTTATCTGAAACACCTCTTAGAATTGATAGAATCTACTTTAGATCTTGGGTACAGGAAACCAGGAATAGGATAAAGGATCAATATAAACATTTCAGTATTTTTGGTATTTTTTAGTATTTACTAAAAAGGAATATTTGGCTTTTGTACATTTAAGTGTATGCAAATATGTGTTCAGAATTGGAGGACCTTTTCCTAGCATTTTGTATACAAGAAATCATATGAAGTGTGCTTCAGAGTAGAATGAGGACAGATGCTGAAGGAAGACACTGAGACATTAGGTCTTGGTATGGCCTTAAAGCTGCAGATTGCCCTTGATTCAGAAGCCTCAAGGTCTAACATTTGTCTGTTATTTATAGTTTTACTGCAATTTGGATATCTCCCCTATTCTCAGGCAAGGAACTTCAGATTTTAAAGTGAGATTAATTCAAAAGTGTTTATGTCTGAAAAGTGCAGCTTGGTGCTTAGCCACCACTTACTCAGAGGAGTTAAGAATAATTTTGTCTATCATGTTTAATTCCCATCTATTAATTTGGTCTGGTGCGAAGGCACATTTTTGATGTTAGTGCACTTGTGCTCCTAGATCACTAAGAGGCCTTTAAAATTCCCTTTTGCCCATAAATAAGAGGAAAGTTCTGATTTGACTTCCATGCACATGGCCACACAGAGGTGTAATGGAGAAGTGAACATTGCTGTTAACACATTCAGGTTGCTGAGAGGAAGAAATGTACTCCTCCCGTGCAGCAGGTATGCAGTTCGACCCAAGCAAAATGCAGCACATCAGAAAAATGCTTGAGGACCAGAAGTAAAGGATGGAAGAGGATTTATTTTGATTTTTTTTCCTTCTGTGAAAGTGGGCTTAATGAAGTAAAATCCTTCTCATCTGTCTTCCAGTAGATCTCCACAGCTTTCCTCATGAGATTTTGGAATTGTATCTGGACTTGGGCTTTTCTATAGGAGTCAGCTTTAGTAGAGTGAGCTGTATGTTAGGGGTCAAGTAGTAAAGCTGATGATTAGCTAATTCTGGGTTTCCTGACCTTAACCTTAAAAAGTCCTGTGCAGACACCCTGATGTACTACCTATTCAGGATTAACACAAGCATAGATAGAACTGGACATATGATTTGACATGTTTTTTTATTACTTGAAGTCTTGCAATGTGTAAAGTTCATATCAGCAGAAGTATATCAATGTATTAGGATTTCAACTCAGCATATATTAGGTTTATCTTAATATTTAGAAACACTGCATGACTAGCTCTGTCATGTAGCTGAATCAAAATGGTTTATTACCATTGCAGAAAAAAGGATTTTTTCACTGCAAAAGCTCAAAGAAGGTCTGATTTCTCCTTCAAAATTAAAGTGTTTGCAATTAAAACTTTGATTTTTTCTGTGCCTCCAAAATTTAGTCATCTGTGTTGTTACTTCCAAAATGCAGCCTCTCTTAATGGTAAGGTAAATATATCTTACAAAGGAAAAGGAAAGGAGGGGTAAAATGAGAAAAGAGCTGTTGTTAAACTTTGGGTAGGAAACTGACTAACCAATGCAATTGTGTAATAGTAAGTAAGTTATATCACGTTGCTTGAACATGGTATTAATGTGCATTAGTGATTGTATTAAGCTGCTGAGCAGCCAAATTTGCAATTTAAAATTAAACACTAAGACCAAAATGTCATTTTTTGTTAAGAAATCTTCAGGGGCTTCATTTTCTGAACTGTGTTGATTTATACTGGATTTTTCATCTCCAGAATTGATTCTCAACTGAAGAACAGATGTCATCTTTCACAGTTTTACTAGATGTATTTAAGATTCCATACAGTTTCACAGATTCCCAATTTCCTTGTGGATCACAGTCAAGATGATTATTTCAATGCTAATTTGTGTATTAAAGAAATATCTGCTATACTGGAGGGGTTATTAAGCTGGTCGTCGTGGTATGACTAGCATATAGAGTTCATTGTTTACAAATAGTTTGACCACACATTCTGAAAATTGGGAGGTATTGTTGTTAAAAAATTAATACCATTTCAACTATTCTTTTATATTAGAAGTAGCGTTTGGACCAGGTTTCCAAACACTGAAGCTGATCTTGTATATATCTGAATATAAGCCAGATTCTGTGCACACACACTTGTCACACTGACTGCTGGAGTTCTGTTCTGTTCTGCTGACAGTAATAGTTATTGTTATAGCATCTTATAGTTATTGTTATAGCATCTAAATTTTGAGAAGAAAATTAAGCCCTTCTTGCTTCTTTTCCATGCTTGAAGCTTGTGAATTCCTCGTGTACTTAATGGGACTATGTCCCAAATCTCTGAAGCCCTAGGCTGTTATACACTCATATGGACTAGTAAGAAATAGAGATCAGAGCAAATTCTGTTAAAATTTCTTTTCGTAAACCAGCTGTCTTACATGATACAACAGGATCTGGTGAGAGTACCTTGATGCTTTGCTAGTTCTTTCACAAGAGCTGAGGCCAGGAGACATTTTAACAGGACAAAATCCTTGATGTAAACATTAAAAGAATCTATTATCCTTCCTCAGGATAATAGATAAACATATCCCTTCAAAACCTTTCCTTACAAAAGCTCGTTAAGATCATCTCTACCTTAACTATGTTTCTTAATGAATTCTTTGGATCTATATTCCTTCATCCCATCGTCTGAAAAGATAAAACTTTTTAGCACAGGTTTCTAGTTTTAAAATGGAACTCTGTTTGCTCCACTTTTCAGTGCTTACTCTCAGTAAATTATTTGAATACATTACTTGTTGTCAGCTAGATGCATTTCAAAGACCTGAAGATTTCAAACCTTTTCCTTAGTATAACAAGAATCTTTTTTTAATTTTTTTTTTTTTTAAGATTTTAACCATTTTAGAGTATAACATAAGATTAACTGCATTTAGTTGGTTATCTGTTCCTGTTTTTTACAATTGAGCAGCAATTGTTGGAGGACAGTGGCGGAATGACTGAGAAGCAAGTGACTGAAACCTGGGAAGTGCTGTTGATAACTCCTTCCCTTTGGAATTGCTATGTAACAGTAACAACAAAAACACTTGTTTTTCAAACTAGATAAAATAAAATCTGTTTATCTAGCCTGTTAAATCTGGGTGCCAGCTTTCAAGCAGATGACGTTTAAGCTCTGTAGATGCTAAATCCTGAAACATTTGGTCTATAAACAAAAAGCTGACATCAAATACAGCATCACTGCTACACATAGTAATGGTGTATGTATGCTGCATTCACACAAAGTAGGGAGATGATTGCTTTTTTGTATGTTGCTTAGGGTTTTTTTCTTATGTTAGAGTATTAAAACAGATATTAAATTTTATCATTAATGCAGTGCGTGGTCTCTCTTCAAATCCCCTTAATTACAGATTGACTCCAAGGATTACACAGCATGGATTTTAATTTTAACTGAAACAAAAAGAAAAGCTGCTTAAAAATTATTCTTGCTTAGTGACTTGTTGGACCACAAAACAATTTTAACATCTTTTGACAAGTGTTGTCAAATTTTAAATATTAGAGCTGAGTTCACCTTCAAACTCCAGTTGTATCATGTCTATTTCCCAAAAAAATGTTTTATTAACTTTGTCCTCACAAAGGAATGTCTGCTTCTCATATTTTTGTTTTTTCAGTTATTTTTTAGGAGAAAAAGACTCACAGTCTTGCTGAGATATGTTTATGTTTAAAGAAAGTGACATCAGACATCATATTTCTTTTCTTTGGTAATTAGAGAAAAATTACCAGGCAGAGTTGATGTAGCACCAACAAATTTATTTCATGCTCTTATATTGTTTCCTTTCTGACCCCTATCTTTAGAACTTAAAGCTCTGAAAGCTTCATTCTGTCCTGAAGCATAGAATAGCAGGTCTGAGTCCAGAAACAACGTTTTTATAAGTTGGGGCCTAATCCAGTAAGCCTCACACAGGAAGGTACCTATTATTCCTCTGAGTAAAATCAGATCATCAGGAATCAGTATTTTATCAGTTTCTCATGAGGTTTCTTTCCCCCATGTCTTAAAGGACAAAATCAGCTTCCCAGTTTGTTTCATTAAGTAGAACTCACTTGTCACAGTTACAGCTTACTAGTATTTTTTGTAGTTTTACAGTATATTCCCTCCTTGTTCTTTAAGACACACACACAAAAAAAGAAGCTGCTTTCCAGGGCTGCATCAAATAACTGCCCAAAGCTAAGTGTACACAACACCTTGTGAAGTAGATATAGATGAAAACACTATCCTGTCTCAAAATGGGGATACAAGTTTCTTGCTTTAAAAATCAGCTTGTTTTGTGACAGACTAATAACTTTGAATACAAAAGACTGGAGGAATGAGAAATTAGCTTTTGGCCAGGGGGTCACCATAGTGCTCAGGGATAAATCTGTCGTTGTTGCTTCATGGTAGTTAGTTAGTGGTTTGATAAAGTTCCCCCAAATCAGTTTGTTTGCTTAAAACATATTTCTGAGACTTCACAGATCTGCAGGTAAACAACACCATTATTGCTGCATCTTTTTACAGGGTGAAATTTTTGCACTTAAAAAGGGTTATTTCACCAAGCTTTTTTCTCCCTTTTTGGCTGTCTCTGTGTTGTTGCTACGAGAATGTTCAATGGTTTTCTCCATTATTGTACTAGTGCACTTTTTTTTTTTAATGGATCACATTAAACTATGTTGCTTTGCCAAGCATAAATCCCTCCTCTTTTAGGAGGAAGGTATTTCTAAAGCAAGCCAAAGAACAAGATAATTTATACACAATGTTGTTTGGTTTAATTTATCTATTATGTATAATAGTCTCAATGGTATATTATTTTCATGTCATGTGTGCTTAATGCAGAAATAGCAAAAAATGAAGCTAAATAGTGTAGTTTAATAAGTGTGTTTGTGTGTGTGATTTCTTCTAAGTATTTGTTAGATAGTGCACAGCACTGTGAGTGATACTGGCAGCTGGCAGATGTTTGATGCTTTATATTTGCTATGGTTGAGTTTTCTTGACCAAGCTTTAAATGTATTATTGCTTAGATTTAATAAAATAGTACACAAAGTAGCTCATAATGTTGCTCAAAAATTAGATAAATTTTTTTAAAGGAAATAATCATAACTGAGTTTTAGTACAAAGTTCAATTTTGCATGTCACCTTTTGAGGCCTGTTTAATAAGATTGTGAACTCTTTTGAATGCCTGGTGAAGTTAAGAGGGGATGAGACAAGCTGTTCAGACAGATCCTTTAATAAATTACACCATCTCTTTACCACAGTGGACAAAATCTGGAAAAAAGAAAAATCTCACTTGTGTCCTAACATAAATAAATGTATGCGTGAGCGCTGTCTGTCTTATGAAGTCGTTTGTGTTTGTTTAAGTTGGAGCGCAGAACACACAGTAAGTCTGGTGTCTGGTTTTTGAAACCGGGGTGTGTGTAAGCATCTACGTCAAAAAGAAAATCATTCTGGAATCTGAAGGCTGAGGCTGGAAAGAAAAGTCATCCTTTACAATAAGTAAGACCTGATTTTGGCGTATGTTAACTTTTCAGCAATGTCATTAATTTGCAATAAATTTGCTGTTGGTATAGCTCTGAGCGTTGTGCTGCTTTAAGTATAAGATTTCAGGATTTTTGCTGAAGCTGGATTTTGATATTTAGATTATGAACCAGGTCTGCATTTTGGGGCAAGGAGTATTGCTAAGGTTGTTAGTTTCATCCCAAGCGTAATCATCTCTGTGTTGTCTAACAGTTTTTTCAGAATTAAATTGCAACTGTCAGTATTTGCTTCATTTTTGTTAATATATTACTTTTTTCTCCCTCACACTCCCCAACTGCATAAGTGAGTAGGGGCTGCATAATTTCTGGGGACTTGTTCTGTTTTTACTTTCCATACTTTTTCTCTAGCTAGTCAGTACTTCATGGCAGTTAGCACGATATGCTTTTTTCTGGAACAGCTAATTTACAAGCAAGTACTTTTTCAGTTTTGTATGTATTCTTGCACAATAATCAAAAAGCCCAAGGTTTATTCTTTTGATTTGGGGGATTTATGACACTTTTTTGTTGTTGTTAAGTTTTTTTATTTATTCTTTTATTCACGGAATTAAATCTTGTTTCGTTATTGCAAAATTCCCTCACTGTCTTTTTAGTTGAACCTCAATCATGAAAACTAGGAACCTGAATTACATTTGAGGAAGGAAATGTTCAACTTAAAACATAGTGCTTGCAGGTAAATCAGTGGACACTGAAAATAAACTAATTAGAAATAGAATGGCTCTTTATTTTATGTGACTGATTTGGAGTTGGCTATATCTGAAAAGGAATGAAAAAATGATCTCTTTGCTTGACACTTGCCAAACAACACTATAAGCTCCAAGTTATTTTGAGGTGGTGAAAGGTGAAACATTTGACATGTTCTTTTTGGATAATGCTTTAAAAAAGAGAGGGCGGGAAAGAGGCGTTGCCACATCAGAGTTAAGGGTGTTTGTGGTTGTCCATGACAGCGCTCCAGTTTTAAAACACCTGTGTTTACTTTCCAGCTTTTCTCAATCGGCCTGAAAGTGGCCTAGGAATGGCACAGACAGACCTGCAGTGTGTCTGTGTTGCCTTTGCAACACACACACACACAAAAGAAAGGAAAAAAAGACAGAGATAAATCTCTTGTTATGCAGCTAATCATTAACAGCATTTTTGTGCCTGAAAGCATTTTGAACTTTTCTAGATTTTTGTGGTCTATCAGATAGTGCCTGTATTTTTTCTTAATCTATTAAGCTACATTTTTATCTTTGCTATCTTATTGTCTAGTAAGAATAAAATAAGCTTAATGTTGGTTTGTGGTAAACAATAATACTGGTAAATAATAATAAAAATAAGTATTTTTTGTTGCAAAGTGATATTTCATTCCAATATTTGGAAATATGTTTACCAGTACTCTACTTTAAAAGCAAACAATGAAAAAAGAATAAAAAAACTATGCACAGCCCTCTCTTTGCTACTCTCCCAAAAAAAAAAAGGTTGTCTTACAATTTTTTCCTATATAGAGTTTTGCTTCATAAAATCCTAGTGTTTGATGTGTATTAACCTTCTGCAATGTTAATTTATGACATAAAGACAAACTAAAATATCACATTATTTCAGTGCTTACTCGAAATTTGAAAATAATTTGTGGGTCAGTATTTAAGATATTCATCGGATGAGAAGCATATTTTATATTACTGCTCCAAATTTATTGATTATTACCTTTTAAAATTGTTCATTTTTTACAGATTTTCTTGGTTTTCTTAAGAAATCCTCAATCGTTTTTTCTAGCATTTTTTAAATTGATGCAATCCATCTTCTGCCTTCTACTTCAGACAATATGTATTCCATTCTTGTTTATAAAAATACATCTGTTTCATAATTACATTTGTTTTTCATTGTGGATCACTCCATATAGGTCAGGTTTTGTTTCCTGAAAATGGGGAAAAAGGCAAAAGAAAATGAAAGAAAATGCAGCGCTGATACAGGAGCACAGATGATTTCTCCCTTAGACTGAATTTCTTTTTCGAATTGTGAGTTTAATAGATTCAAAGTCAGTGTGTGGGGATCAGCAATATGAAGCCCCTTGACCAAGATGTATAGCCTAACTAGAACACAGTTCATTTAATACTGGTTGGTCTAACACAATGACTCGACAAAACAAACTGGGAATGTGCCAAATCCTCTTCAGATCAGGAACCTGAGAAATTATACCAGACTGAACTCTCTTGGCAATACACAACAGGGCACCCACCCTGCCATGGCTTTCCCAAGGGGCAGGAACAGCAGTATGGGTGCCTGCTCTGACTAATCTGGATGCTGCAAAACACACAGCACACTCTCAACTGACAGCAAGGGAAAATGTTCAAAAAATAAAGGTGTTCACATTCCCTTTTTTCAGTGATCCTACAAGCGGATCTGGAGGATATTCACCTGAATCTGCTCTGAACACAGAGAAGAACTTGTGAGGTAAATCCTCACCTGAGTATCTGCACAGTTGTATCACCGACACCCTCACAGGAGTAGCATTCTTTCATATCAGTAAAGAATGTAGGCCAATACCTTGGCTAAAAATGGGGGGCATAGGAGATATAAAGAGTTCACAGAATTTAATCCAGACTGCCTCAAAGGTAATTCCTGAAGGCAATACTGCACTATTGATAAGAAGGAGACAAATATGGAGATAGTGTTCAAAATATGTTCAAGTGGTTCAGATACCTACCTCTCAAGACTTTCAATGATTTTTAGGTACCTAACCTACTTAGGGTTGTTGAAATCCCATTAAATACCTATCTTAATCTGCTTCAGGACCTTTATAAATCTAATGGTCTCTTCGCTTTTTTACATGTCTTAAAATTACTCCCTACTCCTTCTAAAGGCTGATGGTTGAATAAAAGCAAAATTAAAGACAGCCATTTTCTGGCAGCTAAAATTTGAATGTTCTTTAAAAATGGAATTGCCGTTACAAAATATATTTATTCAGTATATCCTTGTGACCATCTAGTGCCAGTGAAATGCCACATTCATTACAAGTGTAAGACAAAATCAGGCAACTATCCAAGAAAAGTCATAATTATGAGCTGTAGACCAATTGTACCGTAAGGAATTTGTACAAAAGGGTACACTTGTTTATGTGGTTGCTCAGACCAGCCATAGATGACATGTCTCTGTTTAGCAGGGTTAGGGTTATAAACACGATACCTAGCATGTCTCCTGGGAATACTTTCATACAGATGGTTGAAAAGGGCTTGTGTGGTCGTTTGTAGTGAGTCTGCAAACAGTTTTGGGATCCCTCCTAAATTTGCCAGACTTTGCACATGTTCTGTTCCTCTACTGTAATAGCATCAATATTGAGAAAAATCTTCTATCTTAAGACAATACAGCCAAAAAGGGGAAAATGCAGAAGTTACAATCTCTTCATCCTTGTGTTCTTTCATCCTACTCAAGAATGTTTTTGCTACCACAGATCTTGTATATCTTGCTACCACTGAAATATCATTGATCGCCCACTTCTATTTTGTGAAGGCATGTGTGCTGGCAAGGTTGCTTGTACCATCTTGCTTTTAGTCACTTTACACCTTTCTGATCCAGGGATAAGGTAACATGTTAAAGGTGGGATGTACTTTCATCAGCTTCAGCATCACATCTTACCATGTTTTCTGGGTACATCACATCCTCAGAGGAGTAATGTCTGTTCCTGGTGTTGTCTCACCTAGTCTTAATCAATGTGCAGTTGGAGGGAAGCCAGACAGTTTATTTGGCTTGTTTTTAAAATATGTCAATATGTGAGATTTGCAACTCAGTTCTTATTTATAAACATCATCTACATCAGTAGATTTGGTTTCTCTGTTCATCGCTTGATTTTGGGAAGTTGCTTTCTTAACCACCTGACACATCAGCTCCTACCTCTGATACAGTCCTGGAAGTTGCCACCTGCAAAGTCTTTACTGATATGTATACTTAATTTATAGAAACTATGAGTCTTCCACTCACTGTAAAAAGTCAAAAATTGATCTGCCTTTTTCACTTTTCAATCAGAGAATGAGCATGAATGAATGAGAAGAATTAACATGAATGAGAAGAGATGGAGATGTTCATGTATGCTCATTAGGCCTGTATTTGCAGTAATTGTATATCTAATCCATGGGAAACAACTGTTTAAAAATGTCCTGGTTTGTAAATATGAGGCTCATCTTCATCTTCTTGATGACCTTTCACTATTCTTTTCTTTTTCTGTGTACCAATGTGACTGGAAGCATTTGTGGTCTTTAGATCTCAGTCTTCTGGAGAGAAATGATTTCTCGAGAGAACAGTGCATGAGACGTGCTTTAATTTTAATGTACTTCTAATGTGGAAATATAAAGAGATTTTTTTTTTTTTTTAATATTGAGGAAACAGGGGGTTTAGCCACATTTCCCTAAGAAAATTAGGGATATATGATTATGCAGTCCTTTTATTTTCACCTTCTGATTTTTAGCTACTTTCAACAAAATCTGACAAAAGAATAATGATTGGACGCAGAAGGGGGTTTCTCTTTTCTACTCAGTTGCCAGTTTTTGTGGAGCTCCTAATGTCCCACTCAAGGGGAAGTTCAGGCAAACTTTGTCAGTAGGCATTATTGTTTGGTAGAAGGCAGCAGTACAACAGGTTATCATTACTGTCCAAATGATGGACAAAAAATTTACATAGAGTGAGCTGGAGGTATTGCAGTAGAAAGCTGTAAAGTGCACAGGTAGAATCCATTAATTTTATGTAAACATTGGAAGGAATATGAGGTTGGGAGAGAAAGAGGCTGGTACAGAATAACTTACTTGATTTTTACAGTGTTTTTAGAGAGATCTTTTTGTCCATGGAATTAAAAACATTTTAATGTCATTATAAGCTTGTTGGTTGGTTGATTGGCTGGTTGGTTTTGGTTTTCTTGTTCTATATAGGAAAATACTGCTTCCAGTAGCAGAACTGCAAATTCCAAATCTATCAAGGCTAGTACAACCACTAAAAGCTTCAATCATTCCTTTCCATAACTCTTTTTATGCTACATTTAAAGTGATGACATTAGACCTTGAAGGAGTTTTAACTTATCAAATTAAAGTCTGTACCTTTCATTAGTTTCTAATGATATGAACACTAACCCCTGGCAGTTTTGGGGGAGTAGTGAAGATTAAAAGAGGTGGCACTTGAATTAAGTTGATGTTGAAAAGATACTGGCACCAAAGCCACCTTTAAAAGTTTTAGGCTCATTCATTTTTGTGGTCATACATTCATTCAGTGGCATTTCTGACTTTGAAAAAAGCATTTTAAAAATAATTTAGAAGATGTTAACAAAGTCAGAGAAGTGAGTATTCAAGTCTTAGAATAATATCACTTATTTGTCTTTAGAAGAATATCTCATTTATATGTTGTTTAAGATACACATTGTTTAAGTAAATAGTTTTAAACAGAAAGGTTCATAAAAGCGAAATATAAGAATTAATCACAGAAATTCTGTCACACAAAAGAAAATGGGATATGAATAAATATTTATCTTTATTTTTATCCTTGCATTATGTTCTGCACTTTCCATCTTTTGACCTACCTCTGAGAAGTACATTGAACTGCATTTTTCTCTTCCATGTTTCCATACAAATTATTACATCTGTCTTCTGACTTTTTATACCATGCCTTCAACATCGTGTAGGTTTCTTCTATTCCCCATTCTCAAAATTGTTTTCTTTTGTCTTTCTTCGTTGTTTTCCTAACTTTCCTTTTTTTAGTCTGGGTGTTTGTTTCTTCCTCATCTGTCTCAGCCACTTCACTAAGATACCAACACCCTGACCATCCCCAAAGACCTTTGTCCCTAAGAACTGTACCTAGATACTGCTATTTTCCTCTGTGTTGGCTTTTTGTTCTGTGAAGCAGAAAGATTACTTCGGGTCTCCACTAATCAGATGGAAAATGGATGACATGAGCAAAATGTGAAAAACTCATTGGTAGCCTCTGGAGAAATATTGCATTCAAAGTTGACAAATTGCAGGGGATTTAAGGAGTGCATGATAGGGCAAGCAAATGGCCTTGCTTTCAGCAAAGTTAGTCATCAGAACATTTTCCTTCCTTTCAGGGAGGTAAGTTATTTAGACAATAATTATGAGTATTGTGTATTTGCGCAATTGTACAGTGTTATTTGGTATATGTGCAAAATGCTACACTGAGGTAGCCAGTTAATCAAGAGTTAACCTCAGTTCTGGCATTTCTGAAGCAAGCATCTTCATTTACTCCCCTTTCCCCTGAAACAGTATGTTAACATTTTTCATTACAGGATCATGTGTGCTTTATTTCACAGCATTCCTGTTCCACACAGTATCCAGAGAACAGCCAATCAATATATTTTTTTATCTTCTTTGTTCATTATGTGTGCCAATCCCTTGTTTACTGGCTACTGTTCAAACCTTTCCCTGAAAACAGAATTTTGACCTACCATCACAGGGATTTTCTCTAGTATTTAATGTTACAGAAACCAAAAGCTTAATAAAGAATGATTTACTGTATTATTACAGAAGTGTTTTCTTCGTGTTGTGTGAGGAAATCAAGGCATGAAAAACCCAAAGTAAAAAGTACCCACAAATTTTGCATGCCTGTTTAAGATGTATAAGATTTACATTTTAGAATAATTATCATTTGTAAATTCCTAACACTTAAGGCCAAGACCAAAAGATATTTTTATGTCATTTAGTTGGCCTTCTGAATATCACAGGCCATTGATTTCACCAGTTGTCACTGTATTGAGCCTAGGAATTTATGGGGGTTTAAAACCTGCTTTCCAGAGAGATATCTAGGTCTGGTGTAAAAATTTAAAGAGGTTGAGAGACCACCATTTCCCACTGATCATTTGTTCCAGTGATTCAAGTTGCTCTTACTCAACCTGATTAAAAATTCCTTTACATACTGTATTTTCTGTCCATTTATCAAGGGACAATGAGAATCAGTAGCAACATAAAACTATTCCATTCCTGATACTAGTTCAAAATTAGCACATGTCCTCTGAGGTTTTTATAATCTGAACAGAATAAGTTCCTTCACTGCATGCCTTTTTCTCTAATGCTTGCATTACTGGTGTGGCTCTTTTTTCACATCTCTAGGTTTTTATCATACTTTTGTTTTCAAATTTGGACACAAATGCGTTTTTATGTCTTTGTTTCTCAGTGTCATACGTAAAGTCAAGTCACCTTAATTGCTTCATTGTGATACAATTTTATTGTGTATACACCAAAAAAACATGCTTTTTCTCAGTTTTTCCACAGCATTATACTGTAATCTTGTATTGAAGTCTCATATCTTTATCAGTCAGCATTTTCAGAATATAGTTGCTCTTACTTTTAAGTGTAGCTTGTGTTCACTGTTCTCAGACTAAGAATTTTGCATTTGATTTTATTAAAATGCCTTTGATTTGAATACACCACCAAATGACCCAAAACATTGTTTCATCATCATTATTTACTTATTGTATGTTCATGAACATTTCTAGCTATGTCTAGCTGTTTCCAGATTATTGGAGGATATGTTGAATAAGAGAATGCTAGTACTGACACCTGTGCAGCCTTGCTAGTATTCTAGAAGTATTCAATGACAGTTGCCTTTTGGAACATGGCGGGTTTGTGGGGTTTTTAACTTTCAGTCCACTCAGAACCCACTTAAGAAATTTTTCTTGATAGTTGTTTTTTGGGATTTTTTAATCAGTTTATTACATCTGACAAGTGAAAGCCTAAAATATCACTATACAATATCCTCTTGTAATCTCATCCAAGAAGGAGATCAGATTTGTGTGGCAATACCTATTCTACCAAAAATATGTTGACTGGTAGTAATTATAGTCTTTCATTAAAATATGTATTAATTGAATCTAGTGTTTTCACTCATATGGCCCAGCTTTAATCCTACTAGTCTTTTTTTTTTTTTTCCTATTGACACACTATTAGTCCTCTTCCAGTGTGGGAATGTCCTAGTAGTTTAACACTGCAACACCTAAAGTGAAAATTGTCTGAATCTGTAAATGTAAAACTTATCCATCCTTAGATTCTAATAAACTGTAAGTTCTTACTCATTCTATGTCAGCTGTAACTATACCATCCTGATTTTTCCGAAGACAGGCAACATATATACTGAACATGTCTGGTTTTTTGGGGTTTTTTTTTATCATACTTTCTACATGAAAAAGGAGCTGTGCTTTTACTTGGTTGTGAGATCACTTTTTTTATAGCCACTCTTAAAGGACTCCCCAGTTTTCTATGGTATTCTGCTATCCTTTTTCCTCTCAAGTACTTTGAATACTTGTTAAAGTATTTTTGTGCATGTAAAGATTCTGGTTGCTTTTTCACATGTGAAATTCAATCAGTTTATTATCAATTATCTCCAAGTAGATATCAATATCCATTTCAGCGATTGAGATTTCTAGTTTTATAATAAGAATGTTTACCTCATGCTCATAAATAATAAATGGTTTTTGAAGTGAATAATATTAGTTTATAGTTGTCCACTAAGGATTCACAGAATATGTATCCTAAACTGGCCCTATAGCATAATTCTTTTCCTTTCCAAAGATTATAAAAATGTGCTGAAGAAAAGCTTGTTTTGTGGCCTAGTTAGCTGACCAGTAAGTCTTTTCTTAAGTTATTTTAGTTAGCATATTGACCTCTACGTGTTCAAGAGCTGTAGTCCTGTGTGATCGTTCTAAAAGGAATAATGGCATGGTGGGGGAGGGCTGTGTTAAGGCATCCTGCTTCCATTCTGCCTCTCTTATTCTTCCAGTTAATCAGGGACTTCAAAATGCCAGTTGCCCACCAGATTTTAGTAATACTGGTTATATAAAATTTATTCCCATCGATTAGAGTTTCTATTGCTGCTTACCCAGATTCCTGGGATCAAAGCCTAAACAATTGAAGAGATTCTTTTCATTATATTCTTTACCACATTGGTTCAACTTGCTCGTTAGGTGCTGAATTTGAGCATGTACCTCATTTGCCTTCCAAATAATCTCCCCTTGTGTTGCTGATTTAATATCCTGGCTGCTCCAGCTAGTTTCCAACTGAGAAGATTAGCCTCCTACTTGTGTGGTGTAGTCTGTCCTGTTCATGCAGTCCCTTCTTTCACTGATGTGCTGTTTTACGGATTGAAATCTGCCTGGTTTTTCAGTTATGGATGACAGACAGAAAATGCTGGAAATAAACTTTCTCACTTGTGATAACTGTGGATACCAATTACATTTTAATTTTCCTCTAAATTGTTTTCAGTGCAGTTGAAGCTTTCAGAAAATTCATCTAAGTTCTGCTATGAAGGCCTTATATAACATTTATGACCCGTCTCCCATTCACTCCAGTTGCAGCTGTGAGTGCAGAGTATTTTGGCAGATTAGACACAAGGGATTTATTTTGCACAGTCAGAAAATGGGTATCATACTATCAATCCCTCTGAAAACTTTCATGTTAAGGTGCTGTCACCAAAGGACAGACACATTCGACAACTTCTGAGCAACATTCAACTACATTAAATATGAAGCGTGTTTGTTCTCTCACTGCAGTACCATCCCATTGGCTGCAACAAAGGAAACAGGAATAAACAGGTTACAGGCTCTTTCACTGGACAATGGTGATTCATGCCAAGGTATAAGTCCATTCTGTGCAACAATTAGACAGATGTCTGCAAAAAAATGACTATGTAGTTAAAAGTAGCATCATGATGTGTATGTCCTCTGGTATTTTCTAATATCTCTGTACTTGACTTCATGAGCTTATTAATGTTCTGCCAAGTAAGGAGTTAGCTCACCCAGCTTTAGCTCACACTTGTCAGGGATCCATTTTTAGCCAATATAAAAGGGGGATATATCAGCACTGGGCTGTCTATCCTTTTTTAAGACAAAGGCAGATGATGCATGAAATTATCTTGGATCAGGTGGCTGAAGGAAGGGGTGATAATGGCATAATTTCTATATGAGTAGTATTTGTGTATAAATGATATACATAGGTCTCTGTTGAAAGGTACAGTCACAGTTGTGTTTAGATGCGTGTGGCCATATATACCCCAGTATTAAGATGTAGCTGTACATAATACTTTGTGTCTCTTCTACTTATGACTTTTAAATAAATCTTAAATCCGTCCTCAAGTCTGTTAACATTGCATTTGAATTGAGCTACTGAATTTGAATCATGTCTTAATTTCCTCTGTCACTGAAGAGAGGTTGTGTGTTGATATGGAGGTGACTCTGGTTGGTGAACAATAGCTCCTTCTACTTCAAACGAGCCCGAGAACTGCTTAAGGTGTGGGTATTGAATGGGCTCCTGTTAGAAGCTTGGTAAGGCATTGTCAGTGAGACATTTAATGGCTTCATCCTTTATTCTTTATAAAGAAACAAAATAAAGATGTGTTCCCTGGAAATGGAGGGATATGTTTCTTGTCCTCCTTTTTGTTCCATCAGTAGCTAATGATACCTACTTTTTTAGATTCATGCTTAGGAGATGAGGCTACCCTTGAGACAGAATCCCTGATGCTGTCTTTCCATTTCTGGTTTGTAAAAACATTAAGCCATTACTTACCTCCTTTAAAAAGTGTTCATAAAATTGAATTCCTAAAATTCATGTCAGTGTAGGAAAATTTTCTGATCAATAGTCTTGATTTAATCTTTGTTCCTTAGAAGTGTTTCTTCCTGTGGTCTAACAACTGCAACAGGTGTAGGTTTCAAATATACTGAAGGAAAAATTAAGAATGGTTAGTTTAAATTATTGTATTTTTTACAAACTTTTGGGAAGTTCCATTCTGTTACAATAATGATTTAGTTCCATGCAGTAATAGTGATATAGCAAGATATATGTGTCATCAAATATACTTTGATTTTGTCAATCAATATTTACTTACTGTGGGCTTTTTACTGAGTTGTGAAGTTTATTGTGGATACCAGCAGTTAGTTTCAATGTTTGTAGCACAAATATTTCAACCTAAATGCTATAATTACAATAACAATTATATTTATAGCTGCTAGGAAGCAAATATCCCTGATCATAATTCTCCAATAAGGAGAGTTACAAAAGATTCTTAAAAATAATATACCTATAAAATAAAAATTTTCTAAGAGAGTAGTACAAGCCAAGACTAGCTAGTAACACTGTCAATGTAGTAGTTGCCTAGGATTGAAAAGCCTTGCTGATTGAAAGGATTGAAAGCATTGTTGATTACAGACTCTGACCTAGCAGTTTATCTAAGAAACAAATTTTGTTTTATATCAAAGAGCTTGTTTCCAGAGAAAGTGTCAATCAAACTGCCATTTGGTTGACGTTAAAATAAGACTTCTTGTGGAAGGTTATATGCCACCTAGATGCTGGATAAAGTTCTCAGAATTTTTCAGAATACCACAGTGCAGTAAATTAAAAAGAAAGCTAAGTTTTATAATATGTTGTATTTGAAATTTGTGTCACTCTGTGAGGCCTCAGCAGACAGCCCAAGTATTAAATAATGCTTTTTTGACTGTAGAAGTATTATTTTCTTGAAGCCTGAAAAATTAATTAATCTTCATAGGAAAGATGAAGTTTATTAATTCTTGCCAACAGTAACAACTTATTAGTGACTAGACCAGAAAGAAACCCCTTGCCCCTACTCTGACAACTTGTGTTGACGTCAATGGAAGCAGCTTTGGACTCCAAGTAATTAAGTCCAGTGAACTGCAAAGACTCCTGCGACATAATTTTGACAGTTGCAGTTCATCTTTAATTGTTTCCATTTCATAAGATATCACTAACATTTTGCTGGAAGATTTTATTTGAATTTTTTTTTAATTAAAAAAAAAATCAACCCCCAAAAATAAAAAAGTCATATTGATGGCATCTTCACTGAGCTGCTACTGATAAATGCTGGTATGCATGAGTGCTCTCTTTCCCCTCAAGAGGTGGAGCACAGCTGGATTTCCATCTTTGAGTAATGGTAGGACTTCAGTGTGTCTTCACAGATCATGAGACTTCACTGTAAAACAGTGGCTTCTGGGCCTGAACTTTCAAACTCCTTAACTTTGTGAGTCCACTCATTTCAGCTATTTCATTTTATTGAAAGATTTTTTCATTTTATTAACTCTCATACATCAATAAAATTCAGGACATATCTTTTGTAGAAAACAGTTAAATTTTACCAGCTGCCAGGATTCTGGGCCAAAGGGCAAAGTAATATTTGTATAAATGAAACAATGATGATTCACAGGTTTTAATATAAAAATCCAAATTTGGTCATTATGGACTTCATTATGAAATACAGAAAAAAAATGTGATTTGAGAAAACAAATTTTGATTTCTTTAACTTGTAGTCTCAACACTTTTTCTTGCTGCTTTGACTTCTGGCAACAGTAGTGGTGGATATAAAGACAGCAGTCGGTTTCACCCAAGGCTATTGATAATTTAGTCATTAGAATCAGTTTCTTCTAAACAGTGTCTCTAGGATGTAGTTCCTCCCTCCAAGGGGAGTGGTCTTTTGTTAGATTATGTAAATGGAGAAACTCATTCATTACCACTGTGTTGCTAATTCGTGCCTTAACCTGCAGAACCAGGCATTGCATTATTCTTTTCCTGCACACAGCAAACATGAGAAGCCACTGTTCCTGCGTTTGCTTTAGTTTCTGGGGAGAATTGAATGAAAGTAGATTCAAATCAGCAGGGGATTTGTTTGTCAAATTTTGCAAATCAAGCTGCAGAAAATGGAGTTTTACAAGTCCCATTCAGAAGTCTAAGATATCAAGCTCACTTCAGTTTTCAATATAACATTCATACCACTCTTTCAATCTTAATTTTGATTGATTACTTACCAGCAGAAGTTTATACTGAAATCTCTCCTTTGTCCTCTTTATCCCTTCCTCACCTTTTCATTCTTTCCATGTCAATTATTAACACTGTGACGTTACTTGTTGCTGCAGTAACTTTGTTTCAATGCAGCTGTTGCCAGGTGAATTTTCTTGAGGGCTTGATTGTCACATTTACAAAGATTTTATGAGAGATCAGAAAAGTTTTTATTTGGCCAGCAGTCTTCAACTTTACATTCTCCGGGAACTGGCCTGTGCTGTCTCTAGATGTTTTATTTGAAAACAAAATACAAAGGGAAACACATTGTGTGTTGGCTCGTGGTTATGTAGGGTAGGTTTTGTTAGCAAGGTAGATACCAAGAAATTGAAATATGTTGGATTAAGTTCACTGGGACAATTTGCTGTGGCCCTGGTGCAGGGGAGGTTCTCAGCCGCTCAGCAGACAGAATGTGTTCGATTCATGTGTTAATTCAGATCTTAGGTCTGTTTTTCAGCTGGGAGGTGTTGCTGTAATTAGGTGGTGAGTCAAAACTGTGTGTTACCAGGCTGCGGCTGTTGCAAGACACGGGACCAAAGTCCAGGTGCTTTCAGCTCCCTGTCAGCATGCCAGTGGCCACACAGTACACACCCTCAGGTGCTTTTCTGCGCTCAGAGTAGGGGCTGGTGGTTAATTCTGCAGAGATACACTTCTAACTCTGACCAGTTCAGAGGCCTGAACTGGCCATCTCGACTGGAGGATTTAGGCAGCAGAGACCCTTGCTGAGTTTGAAAATTCCCTACAGTATGTCTTGGCTGAGGTGAATGAAACAAGGTTCACCACCATTTTCATCTGTAAGGCTTCAACTTCCTGCTTGCTTTGCGGTAGTTTCTGCCATGGAAATCCATGCAAAACACCAGCTCAGAAGAATTTCCCAATTCTATCCTGAATTTTCTGTCCACATTGAGTAGAAACCTTTCTTCAGATCTCTCCCTAAGGCAGAGGAGCTCTGTCATTGCTCAAAGTATCCTCATTGGCACAGTCTAAAACTGCATTGGTAGACCAAAGCAGAGTGAGACCAAAACTTTCCTCTGTCCCCAGTCCCCCACGCAAACTCATTCATGGATGACAAACAAAAGGCCAAGAGCCAAATTTTGCCTTCTGGGGGAAAACCCACTGCAACGGCTTCAAAGCACTGCAAAAGTAGAGAGAAGCCACTGGAGAACTAAGGAGAGAATGGAAAGCAAATGAAAAGCCATTGCTTAAAACCACTTCTTCTCCTTTTCTTTTCTCATTATTTACATCATTCTTCTGAAAGTAGAAAACTGACAACTCGACTCAGATGTCATAGTGTGTTGTGGATTCCTGATAATAGATGGGAGTATGTGTGTTGAAGGAGTCATGTAGATTTTCTTGCTGAAATGACATGTTTTTTTTCTTTTGAATCTGAAGTGGGAACAGAGAAGTACATTGCTTTGCTTTATCGCAAAATAAGAGTGTACACTGCAGTGTACGTTTTTTAAAATATAGCTACCATGAGAGTATGATATGTTTTTACTCATCCCTGTTACTGAAAAATCTGGCTAGTTAAATTTTTCATGTGTCCCTTAAAATGTAGATAGTTCCTGTTAATTTCCCCAGTGCCTTCTGATGAGCCCAGAACTGATTTTCAAGCTTCCTTACTTAAAGCTCAGACAGCAAGCTGCTTATGATGACCCAACAGAGATATAAGGGAGGTCTATGAAAGACAGAGTATTCAATCAGCCTTAATCCCTGCTTTCAGTAAGGCAGTGTCTTTAAGTACAGACTAATTAGTGAATAGACATGGTTGTAGGTTCTTGTAGACATATCTTTTGTTGGCTTGAGATGAACTGAGCAGCTAATAGAAATGGTTTAAAATCTCTGCTTTGCTTTTCTTTGAATGCATTTAATAGGGTATCGAGATGAGAAAATATAAATCAAAGCAGGAGCAAAAGTAAATATAAACTATCTGACTACCTATATTAGTATATTCCATTTAGATATTATATCCATTTAGATATTGGGACTTACACTTGTGGCTCCCAGTGCTGGCCTTCTTAAAGAACTATTCATTTTATAATCTTTGACGTATAGCGCTGCGAGAAAAGCATTTTAGAGTAATGTATTATGCAAGCATTACTTTACACTTAAATAGTATGTTAAAGTCATCAATCATAAAGTGATCGATCAAGATAAACATACTTCCCCCCTTTTAGTGCTAGAGAAACTTAATTCCAAGAAGTGAAGTGAATATCCTTAGGATTTGATTACATGCCTGAGACTAGAATCTAACTCTCTAGAGGGATGGCCCCCCTCTTTAATCATTTCTTTATTACATATTGTATAATAAAATTTCCCAACAGGTAGGAATAGCCATCTGCACATTCTGAAGTCATTTATGGTAAAATTGAATGCAAAGAGAGGCATATGGGAAACTGAGTGAATGACTGACATCTAGTCATAGTCACCTGAAAGAGAAAGCATTTCTTAATCGGTAAGACATTAAAAATAAGTACGAGGCTTTAAAAATTAGAAAAATTGCAGTGTTTTCGGGTTTTTTTCTGGTTATATTTCCCTTACTGTTTGCATATTACATGACCTTGACACAATGCAGAAGCAGACATAGCAACTTACTGTTCTACTCATTTTGTAAAACTAACCATATATTCCAGTAATATTCAATAACAGTACCTTGGTTATTGAAACTCATAACCTTTTTGCTGCTTTTATCACCTGTATTATCCATGGGAGATAATTACTGCAAAGCAGCTGGCTGTTGATTTTAGAGAGCATCAATTGTTCTCCTATCCCAGCTGTTGGCTAATAAGGACAGTCAACACATCTGTTTCAACAGCTGGTAATTAACAAAAGCCTAATTGCTGCAACTCTTTTAACAACAGATCTATGAAAGAGTAGGGATGTGGAGGAATATTATTTACTCTGTTCTCGGAATTTTCTGTGACCAGTTTCTTTTTCCTTTTTCTACTTTGAACACCACTGCCTTTGTCTGACACATTGAATGGCAGAACAACACAATATGGTAATCCACAGCTTAAGTTTTTCAGATCTCTGGTGCTGTTTCTTATGCAACATTTCTTTGCTAAGTTGCAAGATGAAATGGATCAAAAGCATTTTGTGGAGTCTCATACAACGGAGATAATCTACTACAGTATGCTTATGCAATAAGACTGCCGATCCAGCAGCTTCCAAAAGAAAATAATGGGTTTCTCTGTTTGTGGATGAGGTTAATAGCTCTGCACCCCTTCCCCAAAAAAAGTGTCAAAATTCTGAAAGTGATGATTATTTAAGAATTCTTTTACTGCTCTTCAGATGTTTTGCAAAAATTAATTATACAGTCCTTTTTCTTTCCTCTGATGACACCCACATATGTTTTTTTAGTTTAAAAGTAAATGGCAGGTGGCACTGCAGAGATATCTCACTATTTTATTGCTACAGAATTGGAGAGGGTTCTGCACAATGATTGTCTAAATATCTACATTTATAGTATCAGTCATCAAACACTAATTCAAAGACGTTTCTCTTAATTAGACTTATCCTTGGGTACAGCACACATGTAATTGGAATACTTGTCACTAAATAGAGAGAATGCATGTATACAAATACAGGGAAATGTTAATCCCATTGAAGTCAACAGTGAACTTCTGTTGGCTTCAATGGGTCAGGATTTCCCCTGCAAAACCAAATTTTCTTAAAAGCTGGAGACAAATTTGGCATTCATTGTGCTAGCCATGAAAAGAAAGTATTCAAGCATTAATGGATCTATGGCTGAAGTATTATGCAAGTCAGGCATGTATTACAGATTGTGTGAAAGACTTGAGTAAATAAAAATTTCTAAGAAATAGCATTTAAAGTGCTATTTTGAAGTGATAAACTGATGATGAAGATTATGATTCTTTGGTAAAAGTTAGTCAAGATCACTTGATTAAACTTGCCTTACTAAAATTTCAGTTGGCAAATATTTCTGTACATTGAGTTCTTAATTGTCTGCTGGGTATGTTGAAAGGTATAAAAGAAATTCTGCTGAAGTGCTTTCCATTGACAGAATACAGATTGCATAATTAAAAATATTCTGGCAAGACGAGTTTAGTTCAACAGGTGTTCAAGTTGAGAAATGTCTAATAGATGCAATGAAAAAGTAGAATATATACTTTGAATGAATAAAAACAAAAGCATTGGCTAAAATTTTAAGATAGTAATACAGATAAGTGTTTACTGTCTGGGTTTATCATGAAGAATTTTTGTACACAATCTTTGTGGATCAAAACTATTTTTCAGTGTTGCACAAATAAGAAGAAAGAAATAAAGATCCTGTATAGATTATACTGTGGAAAATTGCTGGAAGATTTGATAGTCGAAAAAAATGTTTATCTTTTTATGGATTATATTATTTTATTTCACAAGTTAACAATTTTTAAGAAAATTATAATTTGTAATGTGTCCCTTTTCCCATCACTTCCCTTACTCCAACGATTACAATATTACTTCTTTTCCCAGTTGAAATGTAGTTGAGTCTGAGTTGCAACAGAAATTTAGGCAACTAAGCCCAAAAATACATAGGAACTGAAAAAAATGTTTTCACCCAATGCAAAGGTCTACTAGATTCTAACTGAATAGATCTGCAGTAGAAGGTAATATGATATTAAAAATTTCATAAATAGATTTTTAACAGAAAGGAGCAGAAATCTGTAGTATCAGAACATACTTTTGAGTCCCGAGTCAAGGTAACTCACCTGTATCAACAGATCTCTCCAACAGTATAGCATCCATAACAAGCCATGGACGGATCCATTGCGTATTGATTTGATAGGAAAGTGCCCTCTATTGAATTTTCTCCTGTACTACTTTCAAACAAATGTTTCCTATAAAGACTTAAATGTATGTTCTCACAAACACCTCTATTTGCTTTTCTTACTTTAAATCCTTACTCTGAGCTCTACTTAGGTAGAAAGCATTGCTGTAAGATTGTGGAGAAACCAAGATTCAGGGAGTTGTTCTGTTCGGAATCAACTGCTCAGACTCAATATGACTGATCCCTTTTACACAGCTAGCATTGCAACATTAGAGGCTGAAATTGTTCTAAACTATCTATTGAGGATGCTTGTATCACAGGAGACATGATGGTGGCTTGTTCACAGTGTCTCAGAAATTCACGGTCACTCCAGTGCACAACTAGCTCAAGGTCATGAAGCCTACAGCCAGCCTCAAGTGCAGGCATGGAGCTCCTGTCTTTTTCCCAACACTGCTAGGCATGACATAATCCAGCTGGAGAAAGAACTCAAATTGTCTTGATAAACTGTTTGGTAAGTACTTCAGATATCAAATGAGATGTACTAACAGACTTGCTT